GAAGGTGGATGGCAGATACCTAGGAAGAGAGGAGACAAGAAAAGGCTCTGATTTAATGTTTTGTTTCTTACTTTGATGCAGTGATATGTGATGCTGGCTGTGTATATGTGATGTTCCTACTGAATCAAAACCATTTGTACAATGATTGAGTCAAAATTTTACATTGTAAGAACCTTTGTTTTTTCTGCCCGCCTTGTTTTTTTTTCGCCCGCTCGCATTAGATTTGGAGTCTGGGGAGGATGTCATCCATAAAATTTACTTGTTGTGGCCTAATGACAAACCGCTTTTTTTCTGTTGTCATCACAGATGGGTGTAGTTTTAAGACAGCAAAAAAAAGAGACTGTTCCAGAGCTGTTCCACAAAGTTACTCTTGCAGGCACTCCAGTTCCCATATCACACTCATACTTGCTATTCGACGCGTGCATTGTCCCTATTTTATTGTATATGAGTATTATATGTTATTGTAATAAAATTGCTCCCTTCGCCAAGAAGGTTATGTTTGTCTCAGGAGAGCGTTTGTCTCAGGAGACGCCAATGCCTTTGGGCAGTAAGATAAGTGAGACATACCAAAATTATTCAATTCTGAGGAACAATAAGACATACAACCTACGGCGGTACTTGCCCTTTTTAAAACGTTTTTACGTTTTGATCATGGTTCCTTTAATATTAAGGTGATCCCACCTCTTTTGATATAAACGTACGTACAGAAAACCACGTACCACTAATGAATTTGGGTAAAGAATGATTCAACCTCCCTTAAAAGGGTACGGATGATGAATAGAATGCTCATAAGGCACACATCAGGAACTGTTTTGTGCAGAGCAATTCTCCTTACTGTTAGTGTCACATGTAGATCTAACGCTCTAATGCTATGTGTGAACTGTTCTTCATTCCACCCTCTCGTCTCCAGATCTACGGATAAGTTAGAAAAAGGTCTCCAGTCGCCACCCACTTCGTGATCGACCTAACAAGAAATCCTGTAAGTACAGGCAGCCACACATATCTATAACTGTAATATTTACCGCTTGTTTTTGGGTACACTCCTCCTTTTCATATGCCAGTTAATAATACGGGGTTTCTAGACATTCCCTTGATGCAACAATTCCTTCACAATGTGGTCAAGTCATCTTCACCTATCCTCTCGGTCCACAATCTACTTACTAAAGGCCTGTACGGTATCCTTAGTAGATGAAAGTTTCAATACATCCGAAACAAAGCGGGGAAATGCTCTTTTATAAACATAGCTCAAATGAACATTTTCGGCCATGTACTTATCGCGCAATTTTTATTAATAATGATATGTCCGCTGGTCACAAATTCAGTGCGATTGGAGAGGGAAAACGATCGACCGTAGATCTTTTTTTTCCTTTTGACGATTCAGAAATACGATAGAAGCATATCGGCCGTATGCCGCCGACTGCCCCACTTTTTAAAGTAAATTCCACATTTATTACATGGCATGGTGATGGCGCACGTTATTTTTTCACCTTTTTTTATGCCGCCACCACATACACAATACACATTTTTACCCGAGTTAAGTAAGGCCCGTGTGAAGTGCTTTTCAAGGGGTACACGATTTGGTGGCAAGGCAGGATTCGAACTCGTGACCTCTTCGGTCTGAGTCGAATGCTTTGCCGTTGCGTCACATAAACCCCGCTCTGATTTGTGCTGATGCTTATGAGGCTTATGTCCGAAACTAGGTAGGCTACAGTCAACGGCCGAACCGCCTAGGGCGAAAGTTTAGCATGGTTCCATGGTTCCAGGCTGAAGAGTGTACTGATACTTTATGTTCGTCTTCAAGTTTCAATAAAATGTTGACAAAAAGACATTACCCTCGTACAGACGTCGCACGACACGTTTGAACCATTGGCGTACTTTAAGAAGAGGCTACAGTGCTGTGTATAAGGAAGCTTATATGTACAACGTTAACATGTATATGTGACTGTATCGTATTTTTTTTATTTATTCTTTTTTTTCTCAGTGTTCTTACAACTGGAAGATGAAGCTGTCCGTGTGTCTCCTGTTCCTGGGCTGCCTGGTGATTGTGGCTGAATCCATGTCCGAACCTCGTGAGGAGGACCTGCAAGGCCTGCTGACCGAGTTAGAAGACTTGGTTGATGAGCTAGAAGGTACGTTTAAGATGCACTAGTGTCTGAATCCTAATCTAAATGTAACCTAAAGCGCAGCCAAATGCTGCTGTATATGTGCGTAAACGTGTTGTAGATTGACTTTGAACGCTTGTTAGTTGTTATCAACACATGTATCATCCCTATTCGTTTAGGTTTGACCTCAGTGTTTTTAAAATCCCCCTTTTTCTTCCCTTGTAGTGGCAGAGGTGAGGATGGAGAAGCGAGAGTCGTATGAAGAGTGCAAATCAAAATGTGAAGCAGCTGAAGGCAAATCGCAGTTGCAGAAAGACGTATGCAAAATAAATTGTGATTACGAACACGGAAAGTTTGGAAAAAGAGAGAAGCTGGAGGCTGAGAAAGAAGGTACATTTAAGCTCATCGTATCAGTTCTTCTCATAAGCTGTTTTCAGTCCGTACGAGTTCTAGTTTCTAGGATATCACTGCTTCTAGGACTACATCTTCGGTTTCTTTAACGTTATGTGTTTTTTCGTTTGCTTGTGTTAAATGGAAATTTCAGTCTCGTTAATTGCTGTCACTGTTATATCGGGTTGACCTCGGTGTTTTTAAATTTCCTCTTTTTGTTTCCTTGTAGTGGGAGAGATTGAAAAGCGAGTGTCGGGTAAATGCAGTGATTACTGTTCCGTACCACGGATTGAATTCTACAACCGTACCGCGTGCGAGAAACACTGTGAAGAAAGTATGAAGCGGGGCGAAGTAGAGGAGCTAAAGGATACAGAAGAAGGTACCTTCAACTTAAACTGTGTCGCCCAACTGAACATAATTATACCTGGAATTTGATTTCTTGACGTTGCAGCGGTACAATACACGTGGGACACAGGGACATACAAACGTTTAAAATTAACATTAAAAACAATAGTCAAGGACCGTCACGATAGATGTAATCTATAAACAACAAACTAAAAAGGTACATCACCACTGCTAGTATTATCGTATCAGTTCTTCTCAATAGTTATTATCAGTCCTTGCGAGTTCTAGCTTTTATTGAATTTCAGCCTCGTTATTAGCTGTCACTTGTATATATGTGTCTCGTTTTTTTCTAACATCTCCTGTTTTCTGTTGTTCTGACAGAACTGCAGGAGGAGACCTTCTCAGCCTGAAGTGGGATCCCGGCGCCTCCGCCTGGTGCAAGTCACAGCAAATGGTACGTCTGAGTTGGTTTATTCTCACCATAGAGGAGCATAGATGTATAAATAAGAAGTAATGTTTTTGGACGGTCAATATAGGTCACACCTTTTTTGTTTAAGACCTGTTTTATCCACCCCACCCCTTGATTGTTGTTAGTATGCCCCGTATTGGCTTTGGTCTTTTATTAGTGTTTCTAACGTCTTCTATGTATCTTCTTTTTTTTTTTCTTACAGAACTGCAGAAAGCTCAGGACCAGGCGGCTGAAGCTGAAGACTTTCAATAGTTTCATTAGGTATAAAGACATGGGTGATTAAGTTCTTTGATTCACAAATACAAAGGAATGTACCTGCCTTCGTTTAAAAAAAAATTGTTTAGGGCGTTAAGGTTTAAATTATTTAAATCATTTTGCAGCTGGCACCTACATCTTATGTGTTTTCTAATCGCAGGGGTGAACAAAGTAGAATGGTGATTAGGGTTTAATATTAATATTTTAATCTTACTTCTTTTTCCCCCTCAAAAATTATATAATCTTTGAACCGCTGATACATGGAAACTTATTTCTAGACAATTTTAGCAGGACATTTTTGTGAGGATGATCATTTTCATTTCCAACTATTTCCAGACATGTACGGTGTACATTATGTACATCTTCGAAAGCAATGTAACTGTGACTGTTTGAGTATAATGGTAATAAAACTGGTGACTGGTTTCAAATTTATGCTTCTATGTTTTTATTTTTAGCGTTTCTGTCAGTTGAGTGGGGGAGGGGGGGTGCAAAACCTCTTTTTATTATTCATATTGCTCATTGTGACATTCTAACAATTACTATCTAATATACAATGTCTAAAGTAATGATGAGCCTAGTACGACAATGACAAAAGTTTGTACCCGGGGAGACGAGGAAAGTTTTGCAATCTTTACCATGGAGCCGTTTTTTTAAATCTTTATTAACAGTGCAAACATTGACTTGTGTGTGGGTATCCGGCATTTGATGACAGACAAAAACATTAAATTGTGTAATGTAATAGGATTAACTTATTGCACGTGTAAACTTTTGCGTCATAGCGTTACACAGTGCCATCTTTTTCACACAGTTAAGGCCACATTGACTTAATTTTATTGAAGACATCCTGTAAAAAACTACCCATAAAATTAACGCTTTCAATTCCTTTAGTAAATACTAACTATGCTGCTTCCCACTTTAAGTTAAAGTATATCAGCTTTATCTAGTTGCAAAGTCCATATCAATGACGCTTATATTTAGGTGACACTGACTTGATTTTATAGATGACATCCTTTCTTTCGCTGCCTATTTTAATTAGCGAGTATAGGATACGGAAGATGGTATACGTAATAACCAGGCCAGGGCCTTGGAGAAGATGATTCTTTTGAGAACCAGGGAGAATCAATGCCATCCATAAAGCTAGGTCAGTGTGGCCTTATACAGATCACAATGATAGGGTCATTATGCCACAATCGTTCTCAGTCTCCTCATGTATTTACATTTAAATGTTTACATGTATGTTTTAAGCTTTTAATCGTTTATGTGTCAATGCCTATGTTCTTTGGCAACATTGCAAGAAATGTGGTGTTTCCGACGCAGGTTTCACACTGCAGTAACCATGTAAAAACTGTTCAACGGTCGCTGTCCTCCACACCTGCAAATTAAAGTTTGCGACCTCGAGCGCGAGCGTCCGCCACAGAATCCCAGTATCCACTGAGGAACAGTGAACACTTAACCGTTTGTAGGACTACTAGATCCCAGAGAACGTTTGTGAACAGAGCAATACTATCGTATATATACATTCTAGCGATACCCGTATAGCCCATTCCGTCAGCTCCTTAAACTACAAACTCTTGACAATACTTGATAGAAATTTGATAGCTACTAACTAAAGTGAAACCGTACGAGTTCAACTGAATTGTATTGACAATGTAAATATAGTACACACATGTAATGAATATAGTAAACGCATGACGTCCAGGCCGCATTTCATAGCTTGTTAGACCGCAACATCATTTATGTAATAGTATGTTTATCTGAAGTGTAAATGACACTGTTTTAACAGTTTTAACATTTAAATTTTACCTGTTCCGAACTGTACTGTTTATGTTCTTGTTGTGGGGGCTAGTCTTTTTTAATAGCCTCCGGCTAGTTGGGCAGACCTGGCTGTAAATGTTTATACAGTCAAAAAAATCAAATCAAATCAAACGATTCTTCAATTCGGTAGGACCCTTGTGTTAGAATCCATGAACTGCCACATATATGAGAGGCCAGGTGTTAAAAGGACCAGGGTTATGGTTGGTATTAAAGTTAGGTTTAGAGTTGGAATGATTAGATTCGGAATCATTAGAGCTGTTCAGGGCTAGTGTTAGGTTTACGATAAGAGTTAGAATAGGTTTAGTCTCCCTTATCAGACTCCCTCCCCCCCACACACACACTCACTCACGCAAACACACACACACACACACACACACACACACACACACACAACACACACACACACACACACACACACACACACACACACACACACACACACACACACACACCAAAAAAGCACACACCTGGTCATGCAAAAAATCATACCCCGAACCAAATACATGTAATTGTTTCTTTGTTCTATGTGATTTCTCTAGTCACTGTGAAAAATTGCGTTTCAAACATCAATCTTTACCCTTTTGTTCTGTCAGAACCTCCCGGCGCTAACCTTTCCGAGAAGGCAGGGGGTCACGTGACGAACATCAACCAACCAGTCACCGTCGGCTGAGGGAAAGAAACTACCTCCCCGCGGCCGAACTCCCCTGGCCCATTTGAATCTCTTCTTTGGCAGTATTCCTTTAGAAAGGCCAGGTGGGGGTTAATATTGTTTATTTAAATAGTGGGCTGATGAGCTTCCACTTAAACCAATTGTTTTACACAAGGTAGTGCCATTTAACCTTAAAGCTTGTATAATGAACAACACCTAGCGATTATAAGGTACATTGCAACTTCTTAATTTTAATTTAACATCCTACACGTTTCACATTTTATCTAGCTAGCTATCCTAATTATCAAGTAATTACCTAGCTAGCTATCCTACTAATCAAGTCTTGGCAATCACCGCCCTACCGTTTGACGTTAGTGAATGTTAAAGTTCAATAGTGGGGAGTTTTGTGGTCAAGAAGCTATGTCAGGATTATTTCTTTCTCGAGTCAGAACTGATACCAGTTGTTAGCCTAGTGATTAGTCTATACACCGCCACGCCGCACGGAGCTGGATATGTACACGCTTAATTTAATCATTAGTGTCGGAATCATTAGAGTTGTGGTCACACACTTGCCACTAGGTGGGTTTTGTTTGACATTCTGGGCTGGCAAAGTGTTTGGACTAGTGAGACAGTTCTTGAGTCTGTTATTTCTGAACAGATGCAACTCCTGCAATTCCACCAGGCGAGGCAGAGTTTTGACCTGGGCTGATATTCCCTTGTCCCTGATACCCGTGCCAAAGGCAAGGTAGCCCAAACTTATGTTTCTTTTTCCTAGGCACAACAGCTAGCTATCTCTAGCAATCAAACATCTGGTTGTTAGAAGGCGGTTAGAAAAAAAAGCAAAAAAAGAAACGCCGACCTCTGCTCAAACGCCTGCGCGCTTAGACTGAATCCTTCCAGTCGTTTTTTAGAAGACCGACAAGCAGACATAAAATATAACCTCCATGACATTACCAGGGGTGCCAGAGTATACAATGCAATTTTACGGAATACAGTGCAATATCGTATTAGTATACGGTGCAATTTTACGGGATACAGTGCAATCGTGTTAGTATACAGTGCCGAAGTTACGTCACGTCAACACTGGGTGTCAAGTGTCGTCGGCTTCAGCACTGGAAATTCTAAATCGGCAAATCAAACCTTGTCTGTATCTGTAATTGTATCTGTATAGCCGGTATAACATTAACCGCCTTTCGACATAACACACCAGCTTCGCAGGCACGCGGCACGTAGCTGTTTACATTACACCGATCGACTTTATACACCTAGCCCTCGAACATCAAAATGAAAAGAACTTTATATTTTGGAACATTTCACTTCTCTTCTGTGTACGTGCCAAACAAACATATTGCCTTACGCTATGTAAACAAACATGGCGACTGACCGGCTCGCCTCCGCCGATTGAGTATTTGAGTGATTTCTTTTTTTCCTGGGCTGCGTACAAGTTATCTTATGCCAAGATACAGCGACTTGGGCTGGCATCTCAACAATGCAGGGTGTATTTCGGTAGATTTAAGCCTCCTATATGTGTTTTTCTGGGTTTTCGGTGTTTTTCGGTAAATAGGTATACCCGACGAGGTCGTCCGACGACTGGTATATATAATGTACCAGTTGTCGAACGACCTCGTCGGGTCATGGCCACTCACAACAATGTTTTTAATCTTGACAAACATGGCGGTACTCGTCGGTTGGATAACTGAGTTTGTCCGAGAGATTTTGCAGATCTCTGGGCTGACTCTGCTGTCTGTTCTCGTCCTTGGTGTTGCTTTTCTCCTGCTGGTATATTTCCTCTTGAAGCGCCGGCCGAGAAACCTGCCTCCCTACCCGGCAGGACGTGTGCCCCTTCTCGGGCACCTCCTCGCCTTGGGCCGAGCGCCTCACCTCAAGCTGACGGCGTGGAGGCGGCAGTACGGGGACGTCTTCACCGTCAGGATGGGGATGGAAGATGTGGTGGTTCTGAACGGCTACACTGCCGTCAAGGACGCGCTCGTGGACAGGTCCGAGCTGTTCGCTTCCAGACCGGAAAACTACATGATTGACGTTGTCTTTGGTTATGGAAAGGGTAACTATTTCTTCCTTATCATGGCTTCACCACTATGTGGTCTTCTCCTCCTTTTGCTATTTCGTTAAATGGATTAAATTTCTTAATTTTTGGGCCAAATGACATGAAATTCGGCAGAAGGACATGAGTGGACAAATACCCCTGGGCGTTTTTTCAATTTTAAAATGGTTTTATATGTTTTTTTTTTTTTGGGGGGGGGGTCGATTTTCTGACAAAGTCATGTACATTTGGGTCCTGGAGACCTCGTAGTACATCTAAATCAGCTAAAATTCGGTATGGGTATGCTTTATATATCTACCAACAACAATCCATTATAAATTTTTGCCCACACTCATTTAAAATTGCATAATTCGGTTCATTTGTACTGTTGTCAATGCCCAAATGCACTTATATATGGTGTCGGTGTTATGCCAAATCCTCGAGCTGCCAAATACGTGAGAGGTCAGGTGTTTTGGGCTAGGGTTGGTATCAGAGTTAGGGTTAGGGTTAACGTTAGAGTTGAGATTATTGTTCAGGGCTAGGGTTAGACTTACAATTGGGGTTAGGTTAGGTTTAGTCTCCCACATCAAGACCAAACCCCTCCCAGCCTTTGCCTCGGGTATATTAGAAACCCCCAAGTAGTGTCGGAGTCATGTCTTTGGCAGGATCATGTATCAGCTGGCTTGACATCGGGGCGTGAAGGAATTTGGGCTATGACCATATTTGGGCATTGGCATGCATAGGCAGGGATCAGGTTTGATTATAGATGGGGCTCCTGATTGGATGTACACTTGATTGCTTTTACTACAACTATGAAAGAGGTGCTAGTGTCACGGAAATGAAAAGTAACCTACAGTGGGTGTCACTGGAAGACAGAAGAAAAATGTCCAGACTATGCATGATGTACAAAATGACTAATAAACTGGTGGACGTCCCAATTACTAAATACCTAACACCAGCCCAGAAGAGAACAAGAAATAGCCATGCCTGCAAGTACCAGAGTTATCAACCAAGGATTGAGGTGTTCAAGAATTCATTCTTTCCTAGAACTATCGCAGAGTGGAACTCGCTGTCACCAAGTACAGTAGGGGCATTGTCACTAAATAGCTTTAAACAAAGTCTAGAGTTAGATGTTCAAGGGTTAGGTGTAACAAGTCGATCGGTGTAATGTAGCCAGCTGCCGCCGCGCCGCGTGCCTGCGAAGCTGTTGTGTTACGCCGAAAGGCGGTTATACCGGCTATACAGATACAGATACAGAGATACAGATATTTACTAAAAGAACACCTGTGCATACGTGTAACGGGAACAATTACCTTGTTTTTGTAGAAATACTGGCTAGGAATTAGAGTTCCTTAGGCTGAAATTTGTGAAAAAAATGTCACATAAGGTACATTTTTTGTATAGGTTGCAACTTTAAACCATATGTTTTATTGGAATTAACATGTAAGTTCTAAGCTACTTAAGTCTATAGATAGGCAAGTGTTTCCTGCACCTATAAACATAGCTCAATCGGTAAGCAGCCTGCTACAACGTTAACGACTTACAAAGTGTAACAACTTACAAAACCAGGGGTGTTTCTTTTTCTTTATTTCATCTTTTTTGTTATCTCATATCTAATTATTATTGCTATGTCAATAATATGGATGGGCAAAATATTTTTTGCCCATTTCTTTTATTTTAGGGGGATTTAAGCGTCTTTATTCAATGTCTTTTGCTAAGGACTGTCAGTAAAGCAAAAATTTTACATTTTTCCCTTTTTTTATTTATCTGTTGAAGTTTGTACAGATATTACGAAGGCACCACTAGAAGATTCCATTATTAAATCGGAGGGACACGTTTTTAAATTCAATTTTGGAATGGCGTTATTATTATTATCCCCTAAAGTGCCCCATTAGGGGCTATATTGGGGTGTAGCTGTGGCTCATGTAACATCTCAGAGCCCCAGCTAAGATGATGAGAAGATATGATGTAATGATGAAGTCGATATTTTGTATGGAAATGTTTTCGGCCTGACCAGAAAGAACCATTAGCTCTCTGGACAGCCGATTCTTGAAAGAGGATTTTTTTTTTCAAAATTGAATCAGAAACGATAGGTTAATAAGAAGTGACGTGAGTTTGGGCCCACACTGCAGGGCTATCTGTTTTAAAATATTTAAAAGAGGATAACTCAAGAACTGGTAGACGGATCGTCGTGCTTTTGAGTATGTTGGTAGCTTACGTGATGCTTGATATCATTATGTGACTATTATGCAAATATGGATGTGATTTGCATGATATATCTATAGTGTAATAGAATTAGCTCCAACAGTCTGCGAAGCTAGTATTTTACGGCGAAGAGTGTTTTTTATACATTCTGACTGAGTATTTCGCTACAGATATGTAGGAATACAACGTCTTTTTTCTCCTCAAGGTGTCGCGGTTGCACGCTGGGGGGCAGCGTTCAAACAGAGAAGGAAGTTTAGCCACACCGCCTTAAAGACCCTTGGCATGAAGGTCGGAACTGGTAGCATTGAGGAGAAAATCCGAGAGGAGGCGAGCTGTCTCCGCAACAGGGTAAGATTAGATAGTAGTGCGTGCTCTCTATCTTTTTATATCTCGAGCTTTCCTTCTCTCTTAATCGCTCTCCCTCCCTAGACGTGTGTATGTGTGTGTGTGTGTTTGTGTGTCTGTGTGTGTCTGTGTGTCTGTGTGTGTGTGTGTGTCTGTGTGTGTGTGTCTATGTGTGTGTGTGTGTGTGTGTCGTGTGTGTGTGTCTGTGTGTGTGTTTGTGTGTGTGTGTGTGTGTGTGTGTGTCTGTGTGTGTGTGTGTTTGTGTGTGTGTGTATGTGTGTGTGTGTGTGTGTGTGTGTGTGTGTGTGTGTGTGTGTGTGTGTGTGTGTGTGTGTGTGTGTGTGTGTGTGTGTGTGTGTGTGTGTGTGTGTGTGTGTGTGTGTGTGTGTGTCTATGTGTGTGTGTGTTTGTGTTTGTATGTGTGTTTGTGTGTGTGTGTGTCCGTGTGTGTGTGTCTGTGTGTGTGTTTGTGTGTACTTGTGATTGCTTATAGCTAGTTACTATGTCTGTCAACTTAGATACATTCATGGTAGACCAAAGTGAAGTCAGTTGTGGAGACTTTTTTTATATTCACATATATTTATTGATTATTGCAAAAAGCAAAAGGTACTTATAAACACCTATCAAAAACATACAACGAGTATAAAACGCTCTAGGTGAGAGAATTTTTGTGTTGGATCAAAAGTCTTAACTTTAAACGAGTATAAATCGCATCCATTGACAAGATACATGTACATGTATAATTACAAGGTGGATAAAACCAATGTAAATACAAACTAGAAATGTTGGTGATCTATCAATTACAAGAATCTACCCGTACAGTAAATGAAATTTTGAACTACATCAAAAAAATTACAGTTTTGTAGGTGTCAAAGTGATGTGGACCCTTAAAGTAGTAACGAACATAGGGAACTGTCATTGAGATGCAGTACATAGCTCTTCTATGGTTAAGAGTCCATCGACACCTCCTTCATTGCAATTGAGAATTTGGCAGCTGTGAGCCACTGATTGCCCACTGATTGAGTCATTGTACAATCAGTGGGTATTGCTCACTACAGCATATTATAAAAAAACAAGAGTTCTACGAATTCATACCTACGCCAAGTGGTGTTAACAT